TGGAAAGGAGGTTTGTGCACTTCCATGTTAGTTGGTGAGAGGGTATATAGCTACTTGGTGGGAGGGTAAAAAGCTAATTGGTGGGAGGGTACAAAGCTAGTTGCTGGGAGCGTATACAGCTGGGTGCTTTGAACAGCACCTTTTTCTTCGGCGCGTTCCGCGCGCCGCTTGCATGAGCCAAGGAGATGAAGCTGAAGTTCCAGGCTGCGTTCAAGGCGATCGACACCAACAAGTCAGGCACCAGCCGCGCGGGCCGAGCCAATGAATAATCGATGCGGTTTGGTTCCTCAGAAGCCACCTTGATGTCCAAACGTTGGCCTGCCGCGGCTGTCGGGCCCTGGGTTGATGGTCAAGGACCTTTTTGTGGACTTTTGCGCGGAGCCTTTGTTGCCGCTCAGAGGTGGGCAATGTGGATAGCTTGGTTTGGTATGACTTGGACGGTGAGGTGGCGCCTGTTAAAGTGGGTTGGAAAGAATCAGGTTCATGTTTGAGGTGTCTTGGCTTAGGGTGAGATGGGGTGTGGACTTTCTGCGCACTTGAGGCAAGTTGCCAGCCAACTTGTTTGCGCATTCTTGAGATGCCAGACATGAACCCATAAATCGCTACCACTGAGCACCGAGGGACTTGCAGGCTGCATATAGGGGCTGTGCAGGCAGGTGAGACGGGCGATCATGCGCAACACCTTTCACTTGCCCATCTCCAATGCTGAGCATGTACAAACAATGGGATGACATGACAGTGGCACCATTGTGTCATATTGCCATATTAGCATATAGTAGAATACTCCATATACATATATATATATATGTTTATGTGAGCGGTGTGGTTTTGTGTGTGTGTGCTTTTGCAGGTGCCCGTTTCAGGTTTGTTGTAAAGGGAATCCAACAGAAACACCTTGACGTTTGGGGGCCCCCTATTTTGACGACATACCCACACTGCCAATTGACCGGCTTAACTTTTCTGCCCTCTAGCGGCCAGAATCCACAAAGGCGCTGACAACGCGCCAGGCTTCATTGAGTGCAACGAGCTGGAGGCTGTGCTGAAATCTTTGGGCGTCACGTGGCTGCTGAGACAACCCCACGATTGGGCAACACTTCAAACGAAAATAGGCCATCAGCTCAGCGGGTCAGCTATCTTGGGTTAGACCTTGCTCAAGCCTTCCAATCTTTCATGTGTGACTGAGAAGCGTGTCTTGTAAACTGGGGAACCTCTGGACAGGAGCTTTTGGCATGCCTCTCTGTAACTGCCCCTCAGTCTTCAACCACGTTCCGCAGCATCCGTTTTAGAGTCGTTCTACAGGTGCTCCTTGTATTTTCATGGCCCGGCCTGTCTTTTGGGACTCGTTTTGAAACGCTCCTTGGGTGCCCCCCCCCAACAGCTACACTCTTGGCATCATCTGCCCTTAGCTTGTCTTAGAGAAGGTGTATATAAATTAGTCATCCCCTTTACCCACAAAGGGGAACGGAATTTGTGTAATTGAGTGAATTCATCCTAAAAGCCTTGCTTGCAGGGGTCGTCAGTAACTTTGGGTGGTTTTCGCCACTTGATATTGTTCTGTCATTAATCTTCCTCTGAAGAGCATCACGTCGGCATTGCTGCCAGCTTAAAGGAAGGATGTCTCAAGCTCCAACATGGGATTGATTGCGCCTGGCATTTCGGGTGCGTTGGTCCTTTGAGCCCGATCTTTGGCACATACGTCGACTCTCTCGTTTGGAGAAGGGAACGCCCTCGGGCGTGGGCGTGCCATTGTTTACCCTAGTGGTCGGCCAAGTCCCAACTAACTCAGGTGTTCAGGTGCATTTGTGTGGTTGTTCTGAGGTCACCCTCTCGTCAGAGCAGATCGTGTCAGTGTTCAAGGCAGCAGATCTCAATGGCGCCTTGGTGTTGCAAGTGGTTTGGGACCGTTGCCCCCTGAACTGGTGACACTGGTGCTGAGTTGCAGGGCTCAAGTCAACAACGCTTCAGTTTTGTGACATTGGCATAGTTTGGCAGGTATGCCGTCATGTTTATTCAGTTGGGGTGGGGGGGATTCAAACCGTTTCGTAAAAGTTAAAGGCAAGGCGTATTGCTGGATGATTAAAATTATTTGCCAAAAGGATATATATATATATATATAGACTATTGCTAAGTTGCTTGGCAGACATCGGTGGTTTGGCTCACCCTAGCCATTCGCTCACACTTGCGCCTTACACCAAGGTCCTAAGGTGGGGGCCCCCATTTATTCTTTGTTGTTCCAAACCCATGACGCCAGCATTTAGCTTGAAGTTGCCAAATCACTGCAAGGCAGTTCAGTGGCTGTTCCGTTGCTCAGTGGTTATAAGGTCCTTGGCAAAGGTAGGTTGAACGAGGGCTTCTTGTGCGTTTGCAGGTTCTATTGTGGAACTGGAATGTTGTTACCTTGAAAATACTTCCGCCCAGTTCCATTCCCGAAGAAGAGGCAACTACATGGATCTGACAAACAGCCGAAAGTATGCCCCGGCAAAAACATGGATGTGACAACAATGTAATCAAACTGCATTTTGGCACCAGATACTTCGCCGAGGCGGGGCTGCGGCTTTCCTGAACGTGCGTTTATGGGTTGACTAGCATTCTGGGATTCTGCATCGGTCAAAGGCTGTTTTTAAACGCTGCAAGTGTGTGGCAAGAGTGCATAAGAGTTGAACTGGGTGATTTTGAGGCCAGTGAAAAAGGGATGAGCGCGGGGTAAAACAAAGAAACACTTGACACAGGCACCCCTCAAGGTGCAGAGCAAGGGGAGGGTCGCCCAGGATACCACAGAAACCTGTGGCATTTTTTTCAGCCAACGGTGCGGTGACCGCAGTCGAGCTCACCATGATGTGGGTCCTTTGGTGATCCATTTCTTATGCCAAATTGGTTTGGTGTTTTTTGGTTGTTAGTGGTAGCAAACATTTGCAAAAAGTTGGCAGGCCAAGTCCCGAGCTTAGGTGACGAAAAGCTGGACATGGAGGAGTACGAGCGGCTTGTGAAGAAGGCCATGCCTGCGGCAGCGCCATGAGATGGCCTGATCGGCGTGCAACCAGCGCCCAGTCCTTGGGGTGGCATTGCCCAAAGCTACAATGACCTGACAAACTTGACATGTTCAAGAATTTGGCCAGGATTGCCGAGCACTAGTAAGGCTTGATGCATTGCGTTGTTATCCTACATTGTTACAGGTAGTGGCGCTGAGATGCTTTGCAGACTTTGCTTTCACGCTGCGCAGCTGCTTGCGCAGCTTTCTGCTTGGAGGTCCAAAAGCTTCATGCGATAGAGGGTCTACCGGCTATCGCTCAGCAATATAGACTGTGCCAACTCACGATGCTGAGCATGAACACTGAAGCTATGAACTTGGGATGTGATTTGGTCTCCTAGCGTGTTTCAGGCAGTGGGTTGGGCAAGAATGAATGAGAGCAACTAAGCAATATGATCTTCAACAGATGCCTTTTTCAAGCCAAACAACGCGGCGGAAGCCGAGCGCACCGTCAATGCCCAACCTTGCTGGTCACTTCAATGCTCCTCCTGGGCCAATGCTGTCCAGCGCTGATCGCTGATGTCGATATCTTGCTAGAACGGCTCGTGCCTGCCGGACTCGCAATGGATGGAACACTTGCGATGGGCCCTGTCGCCGTTTGACTTCGGTGTTCAAGACTCATCCGTATGCACATGCACACTTGGAGGGTGCTTCCAGGGCCGGCGTTGTCTTTGAGCTAAGCAGCTTTTCCTGGCAAGTATGGATCCTCGTTGTTTTCGTGGTATCGCAGTGGACATGGAATTCCCAAGTGGACTGTGTTTCGTTTTTTCCACTGGAATGTCAGAATGTGCCTATATCCCAAGCCGCCACTCACACAACCACAAAAAAAATATGTCGAGCTGTTGCTTGCCCTCACTTTGTTCATTCATGGGTGAAACTTGTCTAAGAAGTTCAGCAAGGATGCAATTGCATTCCCTTGGCGCTACCTTGGCATGTGGTTTTGTATATCATGTGGTCACATGCTGGAGAGTACAGGGAATGCGTAGGTTGGGCTGCTTTTCAGTCCAGCCTGCGCGGCTTCCCAGCGAGTCTGCAGGCTAGGCGTATCAACCCTTCGCTTGACCCTTGCTTTGGATGCTGTCACTTCTTCTGCTGAGCTGGCGTTTTCGGATGCGCTTTTTGCTGCTGTAATTGGCTGTATTGTGGTGAATATGGTTGTGCTTAGCTTCAGTGCCCTGATGAACTCACGATGCAATATGAAAAAAAAACAGGTAGCAGCGCAGTTGCACCATATGCCGGTGCGAGCCCCAATTGGGTGTGTATCTTGTTGTGGGTACCCTTTGGGAAGGGAAAGCCCTTTCAGCTTTCAATCCAACGAGGCATGGCTCCAGCTTGGGATGCCAAAAGGGACTGCAGTTCAGCGGTCGACGTGGCAGCTTCGCACATGCCCTAGGCAGACATGTCACGTTTTTCCCGAGTGCCGCGCGGAAACACTGCCAAGGGTCAAAAAGTGCTGCGCTGGTCACATAGCCATGCGATCCTGGACGATTTTGCAGGCTGGCGTGGCGCGATGGCATCTCCTTGCGGCAGTTTGGCGCACATGAAGTCAGAATGTCGTTGAACTCTTTTACTGCAGCTGTTGTATGGCGAGCTGACTCTTGGCTACGGTCAACGCGGTACATGCTAGGCAAAGAACAAACATCAACTGCATGACTTTTTCCGGACAAGCAGAAGCTATGATGTGAATTCAACTGGTGCTTTTCATATAGCAATAGCATTCGACAGCTGCTTTGCAGCATGTGAACCATGCTACAAGGCTGATTTTCACAAAGACGCCGGGAAGGCACTTCATAGGCCTTGCAAATCTCACTCGGGCAATCCATGTTGCTTGGCATCATTCGAAATCCGAGACGCCGCTTTTTGGTGAGAAGCAAGCGGCACCACATGTTAGACCCCAATCTGACTAAGAAACAACAGGTTTACCACGGTTGCTGACTGATCTCCAGAGAGCCCCAACAGTTGAAACTTTCAGGTTGCGGTGGTCCGTGTGCAGTCTGGTGCTGGCTCACTTCCGCCACCTCAGGCCAGCCCCAGGGCGTCAAATTTAATGACCTTCCACACACCGCGCATTTCTTAGAGCCAAGCCAAGCCACGTATACTAAGTATACTAAAAACTTCCGGGCAGCCTTCCCCGCCTCTTTTGTATGGGAGGCATTTTCCATAGAGTTTTGACCGGGCCTCCAGCTGTCACCTTTTTTTTGAAACCTGAACTTCCTTTGTAGCATTGCACAGGGATTCCACTAGTTGTGGCTTCGCAACCTGCGGGTGTCTTTTTTGAGGCTGTCATATCTTCTATCCACATGACAGCAACTAGGAATACAGCAACCTTTCGCATGGACGTGATGTAACTTGTATCGAGCATGCCCTATTTTGTCAAGCCACTTGATGGTGATTCGAACGTCGAATCGTGCGTTTTTGTTTGAGGGTCCTTTTTTTTAACAGACACCAAAAGGAAAACAGCCATTTTAGGGGTGTCTCCTAAAAAAGACACGCGCCTCCCACGTCACAGAAAGCCTTTCTGCCAAATGGTTTGGAGGCTGAAAGGCACCTCTACAGGCCCATCCTTTCGCGGCCGCGTAGCTATTCCACTGTTGCTTTTGAGCTTCGTTCTGAGACGGCAGAGCGGCAAAGCTGCATGGTTGATGGTGAACAGTGGCCCCTTTAAACCTGTTAGCAGTAGATTGAGAACGCAGACGGCACATGAATTTTCGAGATTACGCCTTGCACATGAAACTCGCAGGCGTCCACAGGTCTTTCCAAGCCAGGGCTTTGCGTGTGGGCACATTTCGTTGAGACAAGCTCTGAGGCAGGCTTCCCTTAAAGCGCTTTGGCCCCACGGGCTTGCGAATGGGCCAGGTGCTCGACTTGGACGCTCCCAGCCCTCGGCCCGGCGAGGCGCTCGCTCGAAAACGGGCAAGCCTCGCAAGGACAGCCAAACGGTTTGATTGCAGGGAATGAGACATGGAACGACCCCCAACCATCCAACAACTGGTGGCGTCCTTCAAGGGAACCCCCCAAAACCGGTTCATTCCCTACCTATCGCACCAGCAGCAAAAAAGGAGAAAGCAAAACGTGTGTTGCATGTACTGCACAAGGGAAAGAATGGATGGACCCGCGTGATCAGATGATGGGCACCCGCCAGAATACCATGGCTTGGGGCTGAAAGTAAGAGCTTTGCATCAGCTGAGCCGAGAGCAGGTGCTGAGTCTGAGCGGTTACCTGGGCTGCATTTAAGGGCTAGGACTTTGATCAGCTTTCAACTTGCCATGGAGGAGTTGATGCATGTGCCCCCACACTTTGAGAGATGTAACATCACACCTTGACATCCTGTGGCTTGGATTGATGAACCAGGCGATGCTTTGCCACCTACTTCAGGGGGTGCATTGTGCCATGTTGCTGATATGTGTCATGTTCCTGCTTGCTGTGGTTGTTTCAAGATTTCAAGTGGCAGGGAAGGGTAACGTAGACCTGCTTTCTTTGGTGGCTACTCTAATTCCGGGAGCCGATCGCTTCACTCCCCTTAGTAATCCTTAGTAGCTTAGTAGAGGGTGTGAAAAAAATGCTGGTGGCGCCAGTGCAGCATTCACAATTGGATTCCAAGCTGCTCAGTGTGAGAAAGGCATCGTTTCTGGACAGACTAAACCAGAGCTCTTAGGATTTGGGACATTGTTGGGCCCTCCGCCAGCCAATCTGGCCCAACGATTTCTTCGCCATGGCCTTGCTACTCCGCACGGTCGGCCGAGCTGGCCTGCGCCGCGGCATTGCCACCTCCACGCTGCGCTTGGGAGGCGGGAAGGCTGAGAACGGACCCCCCAGTTGGCTGAACGGCACAACTTTCAGTCATCCCTTTCGCCTTGCCCAGTGCCCACTTTTCCTTTTTTATTTGGGAAGGGTCCCCCTGTAAACTCAACCAACCAAAAAAGGATGCCTTGTTTTCCCCATGACCACTGGGCATTTGAGACTTGCAGTCAGGGAGCTTCGCCATCTCGTCTCAGCTCCGGGCTTGTCGAGTGTTTGCTTAGGCTCGCCGCCCTTCTTGCATTTGCCGCCGCCACCTCCGCCAGCGCCTGGGTTTGTCTCGCGTCCGGGGCGATTTGAGTGGCGGCTCACAGGAGTTTCCACCAAGCGCGCTTTCACTTCAGCCATTGACTTTCACTAGTTGGTTGAGCTCACGCAAATGCTCTCGGTTTTTGGAGTCTACTTTAGTTCAATACTGTCCGATCTTCTCGCTTTGCGAGAATGCGCGCATGTCATTCACCGATGTTCGTTTGCAGCCAAGGAGTTTGAGCCCGATGGCACGCCAAAGAAGTACCCCTTGCATCAGCCAGTTTGGGACCATGGCTATGAGTGGGAGCACTGGGCCATGATGCCGGCTGGGTGCCTTGCAACAAGTTCTAACTCTAAAAGTGATGCTGGCCACGTGTTTATAGGCCCCTGGGCCTATTTTGTCGGTTGCTTTGCTTGGTTCTCTACATTCTCTTGTCAAACAAGAATTGGCTTGGTTGAGCCTAGGGCCAATAGCTGATCTTAAAACAAGTCGCTTTGAATTTGCCTGTTTGACGTTGTTTTTTGTCTGCGGCGTCGTTTTAGTCCGAGCATGCATACTTCAACGCCACAAACAGCATTGGCATGCCAGGATCTTCCACACCGTCTATTACGGAGAGTTTGCACAGGACTATCCGCCCTACTGGGCCTGGCTGCAAAGCTTTCCCGTGTGGGTGGTTTCGCCCATCATCATTGTGATGTCCATTGTGGCGGTGACCATCTTTCAGAATGCGGGCAGCGCCTTGCAAGAAATGCTTCTTGCTGAGAGTTGGCTAAGTCGTCTCATCGATACTTAGTTATGCACCATGCTTGGATAGGTGGCGCAAGATACAAACCTTCATGGGTAAGGTTTTAGGCCTCCGCATGAGCAATCAGCTTAGGCATTGGAATCCGGCCCAAGCGCTACTCCATCGAGTGGATGCAGGCCTGGACCATTTCCTATTTCATATATGCGTAGGTCGCTTCCGCGAGGCTGTCCCTATGTTAACTTGTGACTGGAAGCAGAGTATGGTGAAATGTGAGCAAGTTTGACAATTTTAAACCATGTATGGTTGCAGGCTGGCCGGAAGTATTCAGCCGGCGTTTGGGGTTGGAGGGTTGAGAGCCGCAAAGCACCTCAGACCGCGTCACGGGTGTATGATGTGCACGCCTTGCAACGCACTGATCGAGGGAGGTCAGCCATGGGGGATGTCGGAGGCGCTATGCAAGACTATGCAGGATCACGTTCGGCAATGTTCGGAGGCGCTATGCAAGATTATGCAGGATCACGTTCGGCAATGTTCCTCAAGAGCTTTTGATGTTACGTCGGGCTCGCGTGTGAGTGTTGTTTATGTGCTAGTGATTTGCTTGATTGACAACTAAGAGCATAGCACAGACCCTACTGTAGGTCCTAGGGTGTGGCCCTTGAAATTGTTTCAAAGCTGACAAGTCGCGACTTTTATGCTGCGGCAATGCGGGCCTTAAGCAGCTTCGCCCGTGGGCCAGATATAGTTGACTGCTTTGAAGAGGAAGCCTGCTTGTTCGCGGGGCTGTGTGCTGCTTTGCGTAGCTTCACTGTGCTTGAACCTCACTATAGTTGTTTGTTTGCTTCACAAAAGCCGTGCATTGAAAAATTGCTTCGCCACCATGCAGTCACTTGCCGCTGGCAATCACCTGCAGCTACGAACCAAGGGCAAAATGTGAGGACCCCTTCAAACATGCGCGGGCGACACACATGAGCTAGGCACAAACAATGATTCACGCCAGCACTTGAGCCACAATCAAAACCTGGGTAGATGAAGGTTAGTAAGGGGCAGTCCCAGCCATAAATAGCTGTGGCCGCCTTAATCCTGTACATGGTGGGTCGACCGTTTTAATACCAGGTTTTGATTGCGACTCACTTGAACATTGCCCGAGACCCGCAGGCCAATCGTGAGCGCGAGCGACAAGAGAACACGAATCCAGTGACCCGCTACCTGGACCGTCGCCGCACAGAGCGTGGCGGCACATGGCACCTTGGATTGCATTGGATGACCACGTGCCAAATGTCAATGTTTTCTTGAAGTGTTATTTTAATTTCTGTTTTTTGCGGCCTCTTATCATTTAGAAGCACTCGCAACTGAGTGTTTGTTTGATCAATGTGTTGCCAATTGTGTTGAAGCGTGAATCAAGTCACTATTACATTGTGTTGCAAGAGCATTATGCAAATGTATATTCATTTGTGCACCTGCAAAAAGTATGAGTCATATCAGATCATGAAGCGATACGAACACATATGTGTCAATACATGCTGTACTGCACAATGGATAGGAACTTTGCGGATCGTTGCGATTGGTGCGCAGTTTGGGGCTTCGGTACAATCGATGCAAGACGCCCAGGATCGCTCAGTACAATCTGCCATGGCATCCTTACTGGATGTGGATGCGCGACCTGGCCTGGATTTAGTTGGTAGTTAGGGTACTCCCATGGCAGATACTATTCAAATGGGCCTGTTTTACAATCCCGGCACTTCGGTTGTTTGCCTGCGGCCTAAGGGCAAGCACTGCTAAAGTGTGCTAAGGCCTGTTTCCTGATTCCCTTGTGAGTTGAAGAACATGATGACTTCCCAAATCTGCTGCGCTGGTGCCGCTTAAGCTTTCCAGAGCATCCACTGCATGTATTTCATGAGGCTTTGCAGATTCATCTCACTACCAGATGTTGAGGCGACACTCACGATCCCGACTATCCGGAGTTCTACCAGGACAAGCCGCCAAGTCCGCATTTGCACTACGAGGACTACAAGCGTTCCTGGATTGCACTTGTTTTTTTGTTAAATTCTTGGCGGCACGCAGGGCAGCAAGCGGCAACAAGGCAGGGCATTGGACACAATGTTGAAAGTGCTTGAATTTGATTTTCTCCCCTTTTCGTCAGGCAATGGGTTGTTCTGCATTCCTATCCTGAAGCGCGCTTGGCGGAGTTGAAACTCCTGTAAACATCCACACCCTAAGCTTCTTCTAGACATCTAGAGGTGAGTCTGTGCTGCAGGGTTCTGTGGTCAGGGCGGTTGATGAACATATGTCAATGTCAATGTATTTATGTGCGCAGAGTTGAAGACGAACCGATGCTCGCATGAAGGCATTTGCTGAACGGAGAACAACTTAAAGCACATTCGGAGATTCAAACATTGCTCAGGAATTTGCAAGTTGTATTGAAGCCTGGGACGAAGCACGATAGATTGAAGTGATTGAAGCAGCTTTTGATGCGCTGGCGCAGTGGTCCACATTCATGTTTGAATTGTGCTTGACCGGCTTTACCCATTCCAACGACATACTTCCATTGGCATTCCATTTGTCCCAATTCTGACCCTTTCAAGCCTTTACGAACCCATTTCAGACCCATTGAGATTTTCAAGCAGAAAATGCACTCCCAAAACTCAGCGCAAACCTCAGCAAAAAGCCCGCAATCTCTCGCAAATACTTGCAAACTCCCGCAAATCAAGAAAGCACAGTGTTTCTGGAGAACTGGTTGGGAGGGATTGAAATACCTTTGCACTGTTTGGTGAGCCTTCTGCTGTCAAGAAAGGTGCAAAGCTTTTGGGAGATTGTATTTGACTGCATGACTAGCTGCAGAGTGAAAGGTATGATTCAAGGGTGCGTACATTGAGTTCATCGAGCTGGCTGTGGCAGAGCATGCGCAAAGCAAGCACATGCCGCACAGTTTGAATGCACAAACATGTGATTTGTCAAGTAGCTCATGCTTTTCATGGGTCACTCGTGCTTTGTGAACTGGCTTCTTTGGCACTCCTGAATCACTGAAGCTTGGCGTTTGTTGGGGGTCTCTTAAAGAAGACACGGAGAACTAGAGAACAGTGAAATGAAACGGAGACGGCAGACAGGAAAGCACCGTCTCGCACAATTAACGCACCCCCGACTCCCATCCCCTCCGTGCACGGGGATATGGCAAGCCATTCCCCGTCATAATCGTAAATATGTTGCCCCCCAAGGATTGATTTTGGGTCCTAGTGGTTTCCGCTTCAGTCCTCGCACATGCCCCCCTGTTTGCCAGTTCGGGAATTTATACGTGTGAATTGTGCAGCAACCATGGTGTATAAAAGTCTTATTCACAATGTGCAGAGGCATAGGTGTCACTTACCCGACGAGCTCTAGTTTAGTGTGAGGCTTGGATTTGGCAGCCTTGGCTGATTAGGGTTTAGATTGCAACGTGGGTATGGGTCAAAATTAAACCACCAGGGGACCACAGGTTTTAGTCATTGTTTCCATGTACCAGGGTGCCATTTTGGGTACCTATTTTTGACCCACAGCCACTTTTGGGATCTTGGTGGCTTCGCCTTAGGCATGGACGTTTCCTTCAAGGCAGACGAGTGAGCGCGATCACGGCACGGCGGCTCACTGGGCTGGGCCAAAGAAAAGCTCTGGCAATGCATCGGGTGCGCTAGGCGATGAAAATATGGCCCTATTTGTTTCCGAGTTATTCGAATTGCCCTAATTAACCAAGAAAATTAGAGTAGAGCTGGGAACATGCCATTTCCACAAGATACGCGCACTTGCCAAAGATGGTTTCGAAGCTCTTGAGCATGTGTGCAATTGCCTTTGCTCAATGCATGCGACATCATAATTGCAAGGCATGCAGACTCCTTTTTCACTGGCCCTCCCGACATTGCCTGAGCCTTGCATATAGATTTTACATGGTGCTTGTGATCTGATGGAACGAAAGCTGTGATGGAGCAGGCCACGAAATAAAAGATACACGCCGCGAAGCAAGTCTTTCTGAGGGCGTTGGCTTTCAGACTTGTCGTGGCATTGCTTGACACGCGGACACTCGGCAGATGAGGGTTTCAAGCGTGGACCAAGCACACACGCAACTGCTACCTTTGCAACTCCTGCTTATCATCGCACAAGCCGCCACGATCCGCCAAGTCTTTTCTTTGTCCAAGCTGTAATATGCATTTTGAAGGCCACTCGAAGTTAGACTGATTCGCAGTTTGCCCTTGAATGCTGTTCAAGGTTACTGCCGCCAAGAACTCCGCCACTTCAGCGCCACATTGGTGAAGATTGCGGGAGCCCAGTTCCGCGCCGAGGCCGGCGACCCTCCGAAGTGCGGAGAGGGGAGTGGATGATGTGTGTGTGTGTGTGAGTGTGGTGCGCGTGCGCGCATGTTTGCGTGCCTGCGTGCGTGCGCGCGCACGTGTGTGTATGAGTGTGCCTAGGTTCTGATATGAGGCCGAGCCAACCAAATCAAAAGCTTTGCCCCGTGTACGACATGTTCTGGATGATGTTTTTGAAGTTGTTGCAATTTTCTGGCCAAGGTAGAACACCGCGCTTAGAGTGCAAAGGTTGAAGGTCAATGTTTGCTTTCGTGAGCTAGCTGCTATCAGATGCTATTTGACGGGACCATGTGGGCAGAGTGATTAACTCATGGGCAGAAAACAGCAGCTGGGATTTTGTGGGAATGTGTGGTTTGAACTCCTTTTGCTGGTGCTATCAGTGAATCTGGAAATGAACCCTGTCCCCTTAAAGGAAACCAGAAGGGACGGCTTTTCTCGGGGTTCTCGCACCAAGTCTTGTTCAACCGGCCACTCCGCAGGTCCAGGGTCGGCTGCCCGAGTTTGGGGCGTGCCTGGCTCTTTTTCTTCCACGGCCAATGACAAGTGTCCCGTTTTTTAGGACCCCCCCCCAAAAAAAAAGAGAGAGACAAAAGAACAGAACACAGCAACAAAACATGTGACTCTTTGTTGGTTTCCCTTTAAACAGAATCAAGGGGTACCCTTAGGCAACACACACACACCAATCAAGTTTGAACACATATTTGTGGCATTTGTTTTGCATTGTGAATTGCAATCTTCGGATTGAGCGGAGCAACCCGTGGGGGATGCTTTGGCGCCTTCATGCCCCCAGAGGCGCTTCTGTGTGAATCGTGTTCTGGGGCTTAATTTGCACGAGGTAACCGTTGGGATAATTCGTAACGGCATGTATGGCACATGCTCGAAACTAGTGACTAGTGTATTGCTTGGAGGAGCGGATGCTGTGCATGCAACCACGCTTGATCATTGAGAGCTTGCTTTTCAAAATGCTTCAGAGCAAGCTAATCAGCAAAGTACGCAGATAAAAAGAGACGGAATCTTCTGTGACAAGCTACGGCATTCGTGATAGAGGTCGTACAGCTACTCTGATCACTTGACCGTGCTTAGGAGGCTTTGTGCCGGTGACAGGTAGCTTTGATGGCTCCAAGAGTCAGATGCCATGTTTTGCTACATCATTCCAACGACGCGTCTCCAGCTGATTATACGAACCTTGCCCGCCGCAGAACCACCCCCCAAATGAGCTACAGTCCATCACTTCAGAGGAGCGATGTGCGCTAAAGGGCGCCCAACTTAGTTCAGAATGGGGGTGTTTCTCAGAATACGGTTTCCCTACTGTGGATGGACGAAATCCTGCACCACTTTTTGAAACCACAAAAACAATTGTTCCTTGGTATTTACTGGGGGAATCAAATCAGAGACCAGGGTTTCTAAGCGGCGGTGCGAAATGGATTTCGTCCCCACACAGTAGTTCCTTTTGGTTTCTCTTATGCAGTTTGTGGTTTCTTCTGCCAGGCATCCGGAGGGCCAGTAATGACACATGGCCGCACAGTCAGTGCCTCAATTCTCAGGGCTCAGGGTGAATTCGGCAGTCATAGGACGGCCCCACGGAATCCTCAGTCAACTCACACCTAAGTGGAACAAAATGCGATGCTGCTGTTGTTGAATTGGTACTTAATTTGGAGTTCATGGCTTTTGCAGACGCTTGGGCTCGAATTATCATCAAAGGCCATTGTTTGATGCTTGCTACCACGGGTTGCACAGGACTTTCAATATCCCGCGCTGAAGTTCATTTCAAGCTGGTTTCAACTGGTAGCTGTCCGGAAAAGAAATGTAAGCTTCACAGGATCACTTTGAAATTAGCGTGCATATTCCGCCCACTTTGGCCATGTTGCAGAGAAAAGCCAAGCTAGGGCAACAAAGTTGGGGCACACATTTGCCCTAACCACACCAAATAAACACAAGCATGTGTCCTGGCAAAGGTCGCCCTGCACATGGGCGTGTACCGCGGAGCAGGCTGGGATAGCTCTCGAATCGGCTGGGTCATGAAGCTGTGGATGCCTGGGCGACCAGCTGACATTGTCACTGCTTTTGGTCAGGCCGAATGCAAAATGCTCTAGGTCCCCCAGTAGCGCCCTTTTGCCCTTTTTTGGGGGAGGGTTCCCCTACTAGAATAGACTACACAAAAAAGGGTACCCTTATTCTAGCCTCTTTACTGGAGGACCTAGTCATCTATCTGAGATTGTTTTGTGGGAGCATCTCACGGGGCTCAGACTTGTCCCAATTGCAAGGCATCGACTAGCCACTAGCATCGTGGGGCGAAAGCCGGCTGCAACGGCCTCGCTTCAGTTGGTACACCTATAGTAGTGTTTGTTACCGGTAAACAGCACAAAGACAACCAGGCGGACCGAAAACCGCGCTCGCGTTTTGCCGCTTTTCTGAAAAACTTGCGTTTCACCTCAGCGAACCGCTCATTGAGTCCCCAAAACACCTCCAAGAAAGAGGGCTCAGTTTTAGTGTGTTTTGCGTTTCGCTGAGGCGAAACGCAAATTGTATCGCCCATTCCCTGCCTTCTCCTTTCTATCATCTTTGCGATCGCAAAGATAGCCTGCTGCTCCACATCTCGCTGGCGCAAGACATAGCGCCACTGCCAAAACTTTACATACAAAAGGACATGTGGGCTGCATGAAGGCAGCGAATTCGGGACATATGCTCCGCAGCTTGACCAGATAGAGTCTATCATGCCAGTGTGGCAGACAACCTTTTCGCGTCCGCGAAAACCATCTTCGACAAACTCTCCCTTCCCTGGTTCAGCGTGCGCGCATTGTTATAGCGAAGCAGTCGAGCGGGCGTGCTTACCATGGTTTGTCGTGCGCGTGCCGTGTTATAACGAAGCAGTCGAGGGGTGCTTCCCTGGTCAGGCGTGTGCGCAGTGCTAAAACGGAGCAGTCGAGCGGGTGTTACCCTGGTCAGGCACGTGCGCAGTGCTACAACAAAGCAGTCAAGCAGCTATACTTACATTGGTCAGGCGTGCGCGTAGTGCTATAACGAAGCAGTCGAGCGGGTGTGCTTCCCATGGTCAGGCGCACGCGCAGTGCTATAACAGAGTAGTCGAGCGGGTGTGCTGACCATGGTCAGGCGTGCGCGCAGTGCTATAAGGAAGCAGTCGGGGGGCGCGCTTACCATGGTCAGGTGTGCTCGCAGTGTCAAAACGAAGCAGTCAAGCGGGTGTGCTTACCATGGTCAGGCGTGCGCGCAGTGCTATAGCAAAGCAGTCGGGCGGGTGTGCTTCCCATGGTCAGGCGTGCGCACAGTGCTTTCACAAAGCAGTTGAGCGGGTGTGCTTGCCATGGTCAGGCGTGCGTGCAGTGTTAGAACAAAGCAGTCGGGCGGGCGTCCTTACCATGGTCACGCGTGCGCGCAGCGACAGGGTCGAGCGGGTGTGCTTGCCACAGTCAGGCGTGCGTGCAGTGGTACAACGAAGCAGTCGAGCGGGTGTGCTTCCTATGGTCAGGCGCGCGCGCAGTGGTATAACGAAGCAGTCGAGCGTTTGTGTTTACCATGGTCAGGCGTGTACCATAGCCACGTGCACTGTTATGACGAAGCAGTCGGGCGGGTGTCCTTACCATGGTGCGCAGGGTTATAGCCACAAAGTGCACGCCCGTGAGCGCGGTTCCTGGTCTGCTGGCAAAAACAAGCCGCTGATTTGAAAGTTTGCCCCTACAAACAAAAGGGAAAACACATCCTAAAGGGTCCAAGAAGAGGTGTCGGAGCAAGGGAAACAACAACAACATGAAGGTCTGGCTTGGCCTTTTGGAAGAATTTGACTGGACCAGGCGCATGGTTTGCGGTGCCCGCCTTAAAGGTTTTGGCTCTTCGCGGCGCTCGAGACACCTGCGCAACTTGCTGATGTGAGCGACGCTGGTCTGCCAAATCTTGGATGCTTAAGTTCTGACTAGTATCCATCGGCGCCGAAGCTCTGGACCTTGTGGCGACTGAGCACTACCTCAGACCGGCGTTCCAGCTGGTTCACCCCCACCGTTTTGTTCACCACCTTCTGGCCGCTTCTGTTCGCCCGACTGTGGAAGCAAGGGCGAAGGCGGCGGCTCTGTGTCTAGAACAACCGGCATTATGCATCTTCATCGCATGTTACCCGGTCCCCTGCCGTTTCATCACCGGCGCTCCAAATGATGTTTCACAGGGAGCAGGAAACCTTCCGAAGGCTTCGACAAGAATCGTGCCTTCACCCTTGTAACATTCTGAGAATGGTCGGAATCATGCGCAATCATGCAGGCAAACGCGACCATCTATATAAACAGCCAGACATAGAAAGACAGCCAGACACCGTGCACTCTAGCACGCGAACAGGCAGGATAGAAGGTAAGCGAAGAGACAATCAGACCTTACGACAGGCAAGCAGAGCCTGAGCAGACAGGCAGGCATTCCTGTCCAATCGGGTGGAGCACGCCCGACATGTGAGCCGGGCAGCTGGAGGGTTAATATCTCGAGAAGCGACATCCCATTCCGACCCTGTGGCGTTGCCAGGTATCGCAGGGCGAACCAACCAGCCTCTAGCAGTGATTCTAAGGGTGTGGCTCTTGGATTTTAAAATCAGATCCTTATCAGGGCGTGTCTTTTTAAAGAGGGTACCCTTTTTGGTTGTTGTTGTTTGTTTGTTTTTGTTTTTTCCTTTTCCGGGACGCCAGGAAAAACCGTTGCGCCATTTTGCAGGTCCACTTCTTGGTTCGAGCCAGGCGAGGCTTGCGGCATCCTGCTGAGCGCTTTGGATCGCAGGGCTCCAAGCCCGGTACGAGCGACAGCCCCTTTGCTTGGATTCGGATCCCCGGATTCAGCCTTTGGAATTATAGAGAAAAATGCTTGCGAACGGGTAGGTGAAACAAACTTCGGGGGACTCCCAAAATGGTGAGTCGTGTTCCTGTTGATTTCGCAAGGTGAAAGGATACCCTCGAAAGATACACCCGCATGTACTTTCCTGTGTTGCGTTTGTAGCTTTGCTTTGGTACCCTGATTCCTGCAGGGCTTTGGACCAAGCTTATTTTGCTGGCGCTCCATAGGGCATGACCCAGGGTGTGGGAATGAACCTAGGGATTCCCTGAAAGGAAACCACAGGGAATGGGCTATGGGGGTGATTCTCTCCCTGCTGAGAACCACCAAGTGCTCAACCACTCCTTGCGTCTCCAGGCGACGCCCTTCGCGCACTCCGGAGCACCACCTTGCCAAAGCAGGTGCTGGGGAGCCCGGACGACGGCATTTGGGGGGGGGGGGGGGGTTCAGTCGGTCTCTTTTTGTTTCCCTTTAAATGCCAACCAAAGGGGGGTCCCGAAATACTTGTTACATGGAAACAACCCATTTGCGGAGTGGTGCTGATATGTGCTGAGTGGAGGCCACATGTACAATAAAAGAAGATATGTTGCAAGTAATGAGTTTAATCAATTGAACAATCCTTGGATCACGGCAATCTGGGTCAGAGGTATGGTCACATCATCACATCACTCTGTTCGTTCCTATGGTGCAGGCCATGTTTGTTTGATTCGGGGGGTTTCCTTTGAGCCTTTTAAATGAACATCAAATGCGGAGTTTCTCAATTCCGACTTGCTTTTCAGTTTTCAGCTTTTCGCTTGCTTTGTGCTCCAAGTGCGGGCTGGCTGGAACAAGACAGAATCGCAAAAATCAAGCAACTCTCCAGCTGACATGCAAAGCCCCTTTCCTGAAGTTGTGTTCTTCGTGTCCTTCTTTCGCTCGCGCCATGAGATGTCACATCCACGGTTGCCTCAAACGAATTTCATACGATGACATGTCCAAGCACCCCGAGAAACACAAATCGAATGCGGATCAATGTGTTGCGGCGTCTGGCTGGAGACTTTGAAGCAGTTCCAAAGCCAATGCGACCAAACCCTTTGAGTGCCAAAGCACTGCAAAACGTCCTCGGAGAAGCCACCCACGACTGATCGGTCCTGAACATGCCTGAGATTGACACAGTAAAGTATTGCTCCAGGATGATGACCGGACGGAGGGGCACCAACGACATTATCAATGGGGTCTACCAGGTCGGCCGGCTTACACTGGAGATGGGGAAGATGCACACCTCGTTCTTGCGTTCTAGGGTGGGACGGCGCCACGTTACTGTAACATTGCTTGCAAAGTGTGATGTCAGGACATACGAGTCGAGAGCCCAGCAGTCAACCGCATGTTTGGCTTGTCATTTCCTAAAAGTTTCCTTAAATCAAAGCAACAGCGCACGACGCTACTGGCTCTTGGCTTTGCTTGGTGCATGGAGCTGCGTGCACACACACGGTATTGGAGCTGGCATTTCCTTTTCCCTAGTGGGGATATCGTCGGGCATTCATGCCTATGCACATGAACACTGACAAGCGACAAGGCCCGATCGGGGCTCTAAGTCAAGATTCTTGATTTGTGACAGAACATGTTTACAGAAACTCAATTGGCTCAAAGTTAAAGTGCTAGGGTACCGCAGGTTTTAGTTTCCGGTTTCATTTGCCAAGGCACCGTTTGGGTACATGTTTTTGAGCCACAGCCAATTGATGTTTCCTCAAGTTGCCAGCCTGGAGCTGTCATCCATAGGTTTCTCATTGCAACTTGGCTGTGATGGCCTCGGCCTACCTGCACTGCCTGGCTGTCCGTTACCTTTGCAGCATCCCAAACGTGGCTTGAAGGATTTTTCGTAGGATCAGTGTTTCATTTTCGAGGCGAACCGAAACGATACTCTGGTCGATATCTGGATGCGGGATGAACTGCAGACCTGGAGATGTTTGAGAGAGTGTTAGGGACATGTGGCAAATTTCATTCAGGCAACCCCTGATTGGTGGTTTGGATTAGTGGTTTGGGGGTTTGAACCCCATGATCTTGTAGAGGGCAGATGGGGAACCACCCCTGAACCACCAAACCAAACCACCAAGTGAGGGTTTCTAAACTGGGAAGAGACGATTTTTGTTCGCGAGACGTGCTCCACCGGCCGCTTTCTGGGTCAAGCTGCACCGTTGGAGAGCTGATTCGGGCGATGCCGTCACCGAGGCGGGGGCGGAAAAAAATAGTTTCGCAGAGCCGTCTTTCGCAGACGGCAAGATATAATGGGTTGATCAGAAGGTCCTTTACATTGGATGACCATTGGTGGAAGCCACTAAAACAATGATAATTCCCACTAAATTGGACAAGTTGCCCATGCCCCACATTTTAGTCCCGGCTTCACAAGGGCGAGCTTGAGCTCCGAGAAGCAACAAGCCAGAGCCACTTCATGCATGCCAGTGAGCAGCCGAGTAAGATCTGACATGGGCTTCATCAATTTTTTGCACCTTCCATTTAAGACTATGTTAATTTTCACTGGTTGGCTTTTAAAGGGAATCAATTTCACTAGTGGAAATGTGTGTGTTTTTTTTTTTTGCCTAGGGGGCGAAAGGCCACGCACATGGAAGGCACTTTCCACAGCGAGTCTCATAGCCAGGGGCCGCGCCCCGCTGTGCTGGCCGAAGCCAATGCTGCAAAGTGGGGGTGGGCGGGGCGAGTCAGGCGCCATTACGTGTGAGAGATTCACTCGTTTAGGTGCCCGGAGAAAGGTGCAGATGCGCAGGCATGCGTTGTGCAGGAGTTCTGCTTATCATGTTGCTTGACGGCATGCTGATGTCAATCTAGTCGGTACTAGACGAGAATGGTCTAAGCAAATTTATTCAAAACATGGGTCTTAAAAAGAAAGCTTAGACAATAAATCGAGCACCAATTCATAGCTATTAAGCGGGTCTTAAAACTCGAAAGACTGAAGTCACAAAAAGCAGCAGCAACTATCAATTCTTGAAAAGGGGTTAGACGAGATGTATGACCCAGAGTATCGCCCATACTAAACTTAGTGTTGCCAATACTAAATCTTAGACTCCCACAACTCAGTATAGATGATGCTAAGTGTAGTACAGTCAATACTGAATCTTAGGTTCCCAATACTAAGTTTAGCATTGCTAGAAGAACAAGTATTGCAGATAGTTGATCTTGAATTTCCACTACCCACCAAATGCAGTGCTTCCAATACTAGGCTTAGTCTTGTCAATGCTGAATCTTAGGTTCCCATTGCTACATTCAGCATGGCCAACACTAAAGCCAGTACTGACAATGCCAAATTTACATTTAGAATTGACATAGTGACTGATCTACACTCAGAAACGGTTTTCGTCCTTTTTTTTTTTTGCCAGCTGGTACTTTGCGTTTAAGTTCTGAAGTGAAGTTTGAATTCTGGAAGGATTGTTGGGTTCGAGACGGGGGGGGTATTTGGACACTTCACTTCCTGAAGGCCTGGAGTTTTTTCTCCAGCCGTTTGCCAAGGATGGCAAAAGGACTCAAAAAGAGGGTCGGAAATCTGCGCCTAGGGAAGCTAGATCCAGCATCGAAATCATTTTTTTGTGGAGGGCGCAGGAGACAAGCTTCAACCTCATCCAAATTGTTGAAATTATGGTTTGTGAAATGATAATTCCTAGAATTGCCACGACTGAGTCTGAGATAAATTCCCAATAACTGAATCTAGGAGAGCAAATTCAATTCTCAATCATAGATCTCGAAGTTGACAATTCAACATATAGTATTGCCAACACTTGATTTTGGACTCCGAATGCAGAATTCAGTGCTGCCAGTACTAAGTTTAGTATTGCCAATACCGACCCTTAGGCTCCCAATCTACTTTTTCCATGGAAAAAACTTCGAGGGGGCCGTTTTCGGAATTGTCCCCCAAAGTTGCTTAGACGATTTGTTTTGGACCCAATTTGTAGGAAACCACTTGGACCAAACTTTGCCGATACGTGGCCTAATTGTTTTTCCGATCCATATGGGTGTTTCACGACAGTGAAACATAGTGAAAAGGGGGTCAGCCTCCATTTCATCATTGAAACTTGGTGCCCCAACCTACCTGGTAGTACGGGGGATGGGCATCTACGATACAAAACGCAGGGGGCTTTCTGCAGTTTCCATCTGAGGACGCCATCATGTTCCGCAGAGCGGATTCCGAGCGCTCCCAGGGAGCCTAGCGCAGACCAGCGCCACTTGATTGCCAGCAGCTGTTTGCTCAGGATGGTTAGGACGCCCGGATGTAGACAACAAGCAAGCCAGTTGTACCTTCCCCATCTGAAATCGGAAAGCTTCACCGTCCCTGCAAGCAGGGACCTTTTTCAACTGGATTAATAGTGAAGCTGCAAACAGTTGCACAGCGTTGCTGTTGTCTGACTTGCTTGTTTTCGCTGCAGCGTGTAGTGTCACTGCCCCGTTTATAAGCCAGGCTCGGCCTTTGCCTTTTTTACAAACAAAGCACCAAGCAGAGTGCAGTGAGGACGTCGGCGGTCAATACAACTCAATGCTCATGGGGGCCTGATTAAGAGGGCTCCTTAAAGGATACATTTTGCCCAGCTGAAACATGGTTTTTTGGAAACCAGCATTTACAAGGCAATGTTCAGGTGCATAATGTAAGGATTCCTGTCACGGGCTTAATCAGGGCAAATTTGGGCTCCCTCCCAGCCCCCATGCGCCACTACGGAAGCTAGGCTCGGCCGCATCGAGGCTCCACGCCACCTCGTCGGGGACCCTCAAGCCCGAGCAGTGCCAGGCCAAAGGATGCCCGGAAGGCCAGAGAAGCAAACGAGTATCTAGGGTGTCCTTTTTGGAGAATTTGGTTGATAAATATAGGGCGCTGGTTTACCTGGTGGTTCAATCAATCATCTACCAGGGCCACCTATTTTCGAAAAAGGACACCTATGCACAAGTATGTTTTGCTGATGCTCTTTGGATGAGCGAAGTGCAGTCGTTTTGTAAGGGTTGACCTTACAGCAAACTCAGCGTGTGTGGCACGCGGGGCCCAGATATCGGATGAAGTGGGAGTTGTCTCTGCAATCCTTTTTGACCAACGTCTAGCCTGATGTAGCCGCATTCAGGCCCGCAGTTCCAGCCACACCCCGCAGTTCCAAAAGGTAGGCTGACGTGCAAGGTAGGCCATCCGCAACGTCCAGAGCAGTCCTGGAGCGTAAATGGACAAACCCCGGCACCAGAAACTTACGACCGGCACGTATGATCTTCTTTGACAGCCGAACGGCCCGTGTCCTTCTACTTTCCTATTGTCATGCTTCTAGCGAAGACAGAGCACCCTTTGTGCTAAGCCGCCTGGGGGAACTGCACACTTGCCCTGCGCAAAACGCTTTGTTTGTATTGGAATGCTGCCCGGCTGCTGTTGGTCTTGGTAATGTTCTGAATGGCGGCCAGGATGCCGGAGCAGTGCCCTCGAGTAGAGATTTGACAGGCAGGGTGGGATGATGACGACACTATGTCAAAGTCGTCGAAGCAAGTATCATATTGCATAGCACAACCTGTTCAATCTTTCACAGATCTCCCGGAGGTTTCAAAGCTGTCCATGCCCCAGAAGATGCACTAGTCCCTGTTTCACAAGTGTTGAATGCTGCCAATGTTCAGAAATACAACCAGCACTTGTTCCAGGAGAGTTCGCATAGCATGACTTTGTACCATACATGCAGCACCCTTGTCGCTGAACCTGCAGCCAGAGCAGCAAATCGTTTTTTCAAGCAAAGTGTGACAACCCTTATGGCAACCCTTGTGTAACACTCGTGTGTAGATAGAATGCTGGATTGGAAGCTTGTTTGATAGTGCATTTGAGTGAGACATCGTACAGATGTTCTGTGAATGCTTGTTGGACTTTGTTCCAAACATGATAATTCAGGTGTAATGCATGGTGAGGATGACGTAGAACTTATGCACACTTTGTCGCCGTGTCGTTTTGTCGGCATTCTTCAAGACCTCTTCGTGGTTGGATTGAACGTCACACACCGCCATGCCATCGCCTGTTTGTTCCTCTTTTCTGCACTTCGTGTGACAGTCTGTTTGATACATGCATTAGCGATTATTTCATCTAGCGTGTTCAGTGTCATATTGCGTGGCCAATGTCCAGAATTTGGCCATGTGCCAAGGGCTGACCCACAACCCTTGAGGAACTTCTCATATGCCCACGAATTCTAAGTTCGGATCACCTCAAAAGTGGTGCTCAATCCTCACC